TAAGACGGCTTTGCCAAATTTGGGTGGACACTTCTTCAAGCATTTTTCCTTAACAGAATACATTATCGGTATCACAGCGGCAATCGTACATTTCCAGAAGCAGTTTAAATAACTCTTCATATGTAATAAAAACATTGAGCTATGTTCCAGCAAGGAAGACGGAAGCTGACGATTTTGGCGTTCAATCAACTTTTTGTCACCTAACGCCAACCCTTCACTGTCGGCAACATATTCGGCTTTGTCGTATCTCATTCCTCCAGAGAGGTTTTGTAAATTCCAAAAATAATTAACATCATTTAATCTGATCTGTATTAAGTAGCTTGTGGGTTTACCTTGGCAGAAAACACATTTCCCTCGGTAATTGTACCCCTAATTGTCCTTATAGTCAGGGAAATGGAGAGCATTAATCAGGCAATTTTCTTTATTTTCAAGGCACTTAATAACACAGAGCATTTAAGGTTCTTTTTTTTTTTTATACTGGACTCCAGGCATAGTAACATTTATTGAAGTCTGTCCCTCAATAGCACATAGGATAATATCCACTATGTGTGCACCATATGCCTTTGCAAACCCAGATAGCATCTTCTAAAAGCAGCAATGACACCATCACTGTGCTGTGCATAGCCTGAGCAGAGAGCGGAGCTGTGGTAGGGACCCAGCAGGCTCCACCCTCTGTAGGCTGCCTGTAGAAAACTACAGGAGGGGGGCGGAGACGAGACCAGTCACCCTGCACAAGGAGAGAGAGCAGCAGTGGGTGGTCTTTATTACAGGAAGCTCCAAATTTCACACTGGATTACTGCACTGATCTGGAAGAAATACACAAAGCTCACCAAGAAGAATACACATGACTCTTACATTTAGATGATATTTGCTTATCCTAAAGTTCAGCTTTAAAGTTAAATGTGTGAAAGTTGTTGGATTAAACTCAATATTTTTTACCAGCACTATTCTGATGGTTTTGGATCTGTAGTTTAAAGTGCATGAAAGCCAATTTTATTTTATTTAATTGTTTTACTTTCTGGAGTAGGGAAGGGTTACAACCCTTGTCAAGTTTGTGCTGCAAGACTTTGTTCCCTCTGGATAGATATTCACTCTATTTGTTCTGGTGACTATTGTCAACGTTACAGAAAACTATTTCAAATCCTTAATTTTAGAGCGGTCACTGAGGCGAGGGGGAGGGGAAAGCTTACAATGGGGACCTCAGTTTTGGTAATCACTGTTTAAAGCTGACCATACACTATTGAGCTGGCCATAAACCTTACAATTATCTGCAGAGTTTCTATGGTCGGATGGAAAAGGTGGATGGAGTAATCTCCACCTGAGCCAATCTGTTGCACTTTTTCCATCTGACCACAGAAAATCTGCAGATAATTGTAAGGTGTGTGGGCACCTTTAGGGGCTGAGAAAACAGGGATGAATGGGAAAAAAAACCTCTTTATTCCCCCATCTATGATAACGTAAATAACAGAATGCCCTCCTCCCCCCATGACGATCTATGGTGTTCTGACAGCAGCCGATTGGCCGGTGTCAAAATACCTGAACTATGACTGACTGCAACTTATTGGTTGCAATCACTGTTCGGCCAGGGTATTTTGGACCCGCTCCTTCAACAAAAGTCATCTGAAAAATCAACTTTTGCTGACCAGCAAGGGGGGAGATGAGGCCACACACTTGTCGAATTTCAGCCAAGTGAGCAGGACTGGTCTAGAGCATGGCCAGCTTAAAGTGTATTTCCACTTTTGCAGTCAAATTTGAGAAAACCCCTCTATATATGTGTTATGTCTTCCTAATCACACAGCATACTGAGAATTATATAGAAAAAAATCTTTACCTTTTCAGATATTTTATTACAGCAGGCAAGGTGGCTGATTCCAGCTTTTTCTCAGCCCCTTCACAATGATTTGCACCCCAAATTGGCTGCAAAAGTGGAGATACACTTTAGGAGGGGATTCCCCCTCACTTTTTGAGAAGTTTCCTCTTACTTCAACTCTGGGACAGAAACTGAAGGGAAATCTCTCCATCAAAAACAAGACCGTGAAAGAAAAATCAGAACAAAACAAAAAACTTTACAAATACTTAAGAGGTAGTTCACACCAGCCCCGGCACGATTCGGTGCTGGACCGCACTGGATCGCATCCCGGCCGGCTCACTGTGTTCTGGGGCAGGAGGGGGTGTGGCGGTGCATTGAAGTCAATGGCACAGCAGCCATGCCCCCCAGCCGCAGTGTGATCACCGGCACCGAAACGCGTGCCATATCAATGCCTGCGGTCCGGTGCGGTCAGGAAAAAATGCTGCATGCACTATTTGTTCTCACCAGACTGGAACGCAGGCATTGCTGTGCCACATGTTCCGGTGCGTGTGATCGCACTGCGGCCGGGGGGCATGGCTGCAGTGCCATTGACTTTAATGCACCGCCATACCCCCTCCTGCCCCAAAATACAGTGAGCCGGCCGGGATGCGATCCAGTGCGTTCCGGCACCGAATCGTGCCGGATCGCACTGGGGCTGGTGTGAACTAGCCCTGAAAGCCAGGGGAATGGGCGAGGAATTATTTACAGAAATGTTTATATTCTGCACTTCTGGCACTGACTCCTATGTGCTATCACCTGTAGGGTTAATCCCGTTACATCCGCAATGATGGTCACGTTGGTCACATGACTTGCACATATAAGGGGTATACAGACTCACATAGCAGGAGGCGAGAGGAGTTCATATTCCAGACTTGGTTGTCATTATACAGAACGGGGGAGAATGTCTGTCTGGCATTATTCGGGTATAGTTGCAGATTAGATCCATCTCATATGATATGTCAATGGGGAGCCTTTCCATGTGGTTGCTGTTATACTTTGGCTGCTGTTAACAGAGAGCTGTCACTCCACTTTAAATTCCTTCTGAAATGTAGCAGAAATCATGTTCTGGGACAGTCGATTTTAAAGGCATTTACGAAATTGTGTCAGAAAGTGTAAGCAGAAATGTGTATGTAGAAGCTGGCATTCCCTGACTGATTCTGGAATAGCTCGTCCTTCTGGATTTAAAGCTGAACTCCAGGCAAACAGCTACATACTGTACATATGTGGGAGCCTTTTTACCTGCCGAAGGGTTTATATTTATGTCCATCCAGTCTTGAGATGTTCACAGCTCTGTCTAATCAGGGCAGAAGACCTGATATTTATCTGCTGCAGTTAAATAATACTTACAGGTCTTGTCCCTTCTCCAGTCTTTGATTGGACAGCAAAAAGGAGAAGCATAGATTTTAATGATTCTGCGCTGGACCTATAAAGATGTATAAGTGCTAAAAGTGCAAATTTAATTTGAAGGCTGCAGCAAAACGACCGTTAGGTCAAAATATTAAACTTTCAAATTATGCAGCGCCCGCAACATATAACGTGTTAATATCATAAACCATGAAATCAAATAAATATATGTGACTCAAATGTATAAACTATAATAGTATACTGCACACATGAATGTTAGTGACTTAAAGTCTTTCTAAAAAACCATCATTGGCCCTGGATCATTGATCCCACAGGGTATGTGAACCAATTGTTGTTAGTGACAACCACCGTATAATTGTTGAATGATGTGATGTGTCAAATCCAAAGAGGACTGTTCAAAAAGTATTCGAAAAAATATTCCAAAAAAAAGGTGTTCAAAAGAAATTCCGTGAACTATGTTGGGGATAGGGGTTAATACCACATATCTCACCTCGAAAGGTGCACTCACCGTGAGGTAGTGGCTGTGATAAGCAGCCGGAAACGCTCAGACAGAAGCTCTCAGGACCGCAGCATCGATCCACCGTCTCGCTATGGTCTTCAATAAAGGATGTGTCTCCAACGTTTATGGAAGAAAGAAGCCTTTCATTGTGTAATGTTTTTCAACACAGAGGCTTTATTAAAAATCAAGTTTAAAACGAACAATCACGAACATTTAAGATTTTGTTCGATCAATACACACAGCCTAGGAACGGAGTCCTGTGTTAGCCTAACTACACGCCATACCGAACACAGGACTCCGTTCCTAGGCTGTGTGTATTGATCGAACAAAATCTTAAATGTTCGTGATTGTTCGTTTTAAACTTGATTTTTAATAAAGCCTCTGTGTTGAAAAACATTACACAATGAAAGGCTTCTTTCTTCCATAAACGTTGGAGACACATCCTTTATTGAAGACCATAGCGAGACGGTGGATCGATGCTGCGGTCCTGAGAGCTTCTGTCTGAGCGTTTCCGGCTGCTTATCACAGCCACTACCTCACGGTGAGTGCACCTTTCGAGGTGATATATGTGGTATTAACCCCTATCCCAAACATAGTTCACGGAATTTCTTTTGAACACCTTTTTTTTGGAATATTTTTTCGAATACTTTTTGAACAGTCCTCTTTGGATTTGACACATCACATCATTCAACAATTATACGGTGGTTGTCACTAACAACAATTGGTTCACATACCCTGTGGGATCAATGATCCATGGCCAATGATGGTTTTTTAGAAAGACTTTAAGTCACTAACATTCATGTGTGCAGTATACTATTATAGTTTATACATTTGAGTCACATAGATTTATTTGATTTCATGGTTTATGATATTAACACGTTATATGTTGCGGGCGCTGCATAATTTGAAAGTTTAAAAAGGAGAAGCAGCAGATTGATGGGCTCATCTTGTTCTATTTTACTCTGCTCTTATTCTTATGTTCCCTTGTTTGAGAACTGCAGCTCAACTGGTTCCTTGTACTGCTTCTCTCTCCCTCATTATGAGCTCTGCTGTGCAGGGACTACAAGAGGCTGATACCAAGCACCTACACTGCTTGTCATTCTTTTAAAAAAATCACTTTTAATAATGTATTATTAATAATTACTGAGCTGCATTTATTTCGGTTTATATTTGTATATGTTTTTATTTTGTATTTTAAGAGTTGTTCTTAGTACCGGTCTTTTGTTATTCAGTTATATATTTACCTCTCTTATTTACCAAATGTTCTCTTCTGTGTTTTATTTGCAGGAGTCCCGACTACTTACCAAAATAGCTTGGACGTCACTTCCACCATCACCACCATCTTGGATTTATTTCTGTATAAAAGCCATGGCAGAGGTCAATTGGTATGACGCGGAGGCCAGGATTTGAATTAATACTTTGTTTATGTTAATATGTCTTTGTTTTCAATTTGACAATAAATACATTTCAGGTATCGTTTTCTCTTCCGGTTTGTGATCCTGGGATGTCACAGCATAGTGAACTTCTGACTTGTAAACTGCACAGGTTTTGAGCTGGACCTTTTATATAAAGTGGAATTCCAGCCCAAACTTTTAATTATTATTATAATACAGGATTTATATAGCGCCAACAGCTTGCGCAGCACTTTACAATATAAGGAAGACATTACAGTCACAATACAATTCCAGACAAGATGGTAAGGAGGGCCCTGCCCCGGAGGGCTTACAGTCTAACAGGGAGGGGCAAGTGATGCATGATTTTATTATTTAAGTTATAGATAGAGCAGAGCAGGGTGTAGCTTCTGTCAAATTTTTATTGAGCTCTGCGTACCCATTGTGAATATTTCCTCATTTCCAAAAAACATGAGTCTGGAACTCTACTTTAATGTAAACCTGTGCACAGACTATGCAAACTAACGTATATTCATATTCTGAAAAGGCAGTAAAAGGACTTTAAAGGGTAAGTTTACTTTTGTGACCATGTTTTATGTTACACCAATATTTCCTATTTGATTAGGAGCTGCTGCAGGTGGCAGTTATGGCAGGAGAAGGTACCTGATGGAGTACCCTGCCACCTTATGATGCCCATATCCTGCTGGTGCAGTTTAATGGCTCAGGAAGAGAAAATGTTTAAATTGTAAATGGAAGCAAACCTCTAAAATACATTGTTGTGCCATGTTAGCCATTGACAAAAGTAACGGTTTGGACTTCTGCAGAAGAGACCATAACTTTAAATGGTCTCCCTGTTACAGTGCTGATGGGGAATGTCAGATAACAAAAGTAAGACTGGAGACAAAGTGCAAATTTCTTTCTTTCTTGGAAAATGCAAGACTCCGGGAACATGGCTGAAACAGAGACAGAGCAGAAATGATATGTGCTACTTTGATTTTCTCTGAGCCATCTCCACATCAACGGCATTTTAAAAAGACGACTACCATCCCCACATCCCACTTACGTTGGCCACACCAGTAAAATCAATTCAAGAATATTCATTTTTGAAACATTCCATTTTCGAACGCAATGCGAAGTATCACCCCTCCAATTGCCAGCAAGCTCCAGTTTTGTTTCCTAGTGTCCCAGGGGAATGAACGTCTTTTCTCTTTATTATTAAAGATGTATTTTTCTTATATTAAGCTTCTACAGTTCCTGTTGAGTCAGAAAAGCTTATTTTGCAGTTTTCGGAGTAGGCTGAGGTACCCGGACCACCCCACTGTGAGGAAAAAGCAGGGTTGGCCTGCCACTGGGCCCTGCTGAGGCATTTTTTTTATAGCGTAGAGAATAGTGGGAACCTGTCATGTTTATTTATTGCCATGTGTCCCTTGGGGAAATCTCCTTCCATGCCCTGCCCTGTAGACCCAATGAGAGGAAATTTCTCCAAAGCTAGTTGTCACCAGAACAGGTGTCCCTACTGAAAAACTACCCCTCTACTTCTGTGCTGGCAACAATTCAAACAACAATTCATTATTTTCTGTGTTTGGAAATATTGTTCAGCAGGACAAAGAGAGATAGTGAATCACCCCAGCTGGGACACAACAAAGAAAATCTTACAGGGCTTCCAACCCACTATCCACTCATCTTACAGAGTCAAAAAGAAGGTTTTGCCTTATACAGATACACTTGAGCATGTATATCTCATTTACAAAACAAATTGCTATTGGGCTTTAGGCTGATTACAACTAGGTGCACCAAAATGATATTTTTGAAACGGAAACCGAAAATAAAGTCAGGCCGAAACTTCCTTTTTTTTTTTCTCTAACTTTTTAAAAAAAATATATATATTTTTGTTTCTTTTTTTCTAAACTTTTTTTTTATTGTTTTCTTATATTTTATTTTAATTTTTGTATACATAACTTTTAACTTTACTTTTAGGGGCTTTAGGGAAATGTTGGGGGTCTAAACAAACCCCGGATATTTACTTTTTAAAATAGAAAAAGAGATTGAGGACACAGAGTCCTCAATCTCTTTTTCTGCAGCCCCAGTTATAAATGAACAGGAATCCTCTATACTGAGTGTTCCTGATCATTCATAACATGTAGATATAGTATGTTTACTATGTCCACAATCGTGAATGAACAGGAGGTGACGTAGATCACTTCTTATTCATTCATAATTGGGGACACAGTAAACATACTATGTCCTCAATTATTTACAAGCCGTCAGCGATCACTGACTGCTTGTACCCACTCTCCATCATGACTTGCTGCTACAGGATTGAGAGAGGGCGAAGCGGGGAGGAGAGCTTGGTCTATTTTGACACTTGACTCCCCCCGGCACCACAGGCCCGGCCTCCTGTGACAGCACTCTCCCCTACACACCGCTTTCCTGATCTGTCACAGCTGTGCGGTGCATGAGGAGAGCTAGGCCTCTTGTGACAAGCCGGCCGCTCACATCACACTCCTCCCCCGCACCGTTCGGCCTCCTGGGACAGTTTCTCCTCCCCGCTGGACGCTGCACTGTGTCAGAGGGAAAACGGAGCAGCGCCCAGCGGGGAATGCACCGCTATTTCAGCCAAAAGATGGCACATTCTGCATTTTGCCAAAAGTACCATTTTCGGCCGATATGTTTCGGAGACCGAAATTTGGGTGCATCCCTAATCACAACAAATGTATATAAAAATAGTTTAAATGGTAAGTACACTTTTAGAAAAAAAATATATACTTTGAGATAAAGTTTTCCCGCAGGATGTAAACATTAATGTGGGCTCAGCCAAGTACATAGCAGTGGGGGGTAGTTTGGATTCAGGGGATTCCTGTATGTATCCATAAGTAGAGAGCTGCAATAATGGGTGCCTTGTATGTATGCCTCGAGTTATTTTTTTTTTTCTCTAACTTTTTAAAAAAAATATATATATTTTTGTTTCTTTTTTTCTAAACTTTTTTTTTATTGTTTTCTTATATTTTATTTTAATTTTTGTATACATAACTTTTAACTTTACTTTTAGGGGCTTTAGGGAAATGTTGGGGGTCTAAACAAACCCCGGATATTTACTTTTTAAAATAGAAAAAGAGATTGAGGACACAGAGTCCTCAATCTCTTTTTCTGCAGCCCCAGTTATAAATGAACAGGAATCCTCTATACTGAGTGTTCCTGATCATTCATAACATGTAGATATAGTATGTTTACTATGTCCACAATCGTGAATGAACAGGAGGTGACGTAGATCACTTCTTATTCATTCATAATTGGGGACACAGTAAACATACTATGTCCTCAATTATTTACAAGCCGTCAGCGATCACTGACTGCTTGTACCCACTCTCCATCATGACTTGCTGCTACAGGATTGAGAGAGGGCGAAGCGGGGAGGAGAGCTTGGTCTATTTTGACACTTGACTCCCCCCGGCACCACAGGCCCGGCCTCCTGTGACAGCACTCTCCCCTACACACCGCTTTCCTGATCTGTCACAGCTGTGCGGTGCATGAGGAGAGCTAGGCCTCTTGTGACAAGCCGGCCGCTCACATCACACTCCTCCCCCGCACCGTTCGGCCTCCTGGGACAGTTTCTCCTCCCCGCTGGACGCTGCACTGTGTCAGAGGGAAAACGGAGCAGCGCCCAGCGGGGAATGCACCGCTATTTCAGCCAAAAGATGGCACATTCTGCATTTTGCCAAAAGTACCATTTTCGGCCGATATGTTTCGGAGACCGAAATTTGGGTGCATCCCTAATCACAACAAATGTATATAAAAATAGTTTAAATGGTAAGTACACTTTTAGAAAAAAAATATATACTTTGAGATAAAGTTTTCCCGCAGGATGTAAACATTAATGTGGGCTCAGCCAAGTACATAGCAGTGGGGGGTAGTTTGGATTCAGGGGATTCCTGTATGTATCCATAAGTAGAGAGCTGCAATAATGGGTGCCTTGTATGTATGCCTCGAGTTCAGCTTTGTAGCTTTCAAAATCACTAGCCCGGAATAAGTATACAAATCAGGACTTCAGACTATCTGGATACTTGCCCCAGGTCTGCGTAACAATGTACTGACACCAGACACAGCCAGGCAACTGACATTTTGAGAAAGATCAGCGCTAGCAAACTCCATGCTCCTCTTTAAAGGTTTCTGTAGACTGATTGATTTCTCTCTCCTCTAAACTAACAGATGTGATGCAAAGTTTTATATTGAGGAGGAAAAAAAAAAGCTTGAAACTAGGTTCTAGTATTTTATATTACAAACATCTGTCTTCAGACTTGTCTGGGCAAATCTGTACATTCCATTACCAGTAATCCAATCACATATACACATTACAGAGGGATCTGCTCTTCTGCTCCCTACTACCTTTTTGGCGATCTGCGGAATGGAACTTTTACCTTCATATAATCTCTGCTATTCCAAGTAGTAAAGCTGTGATTCTGGGACTTAGTTTGAGATTCATTACACTTTCCTTGGGGCAGCTGTTGAATTACTAATTTAGACGATCATAAATCAGATTTTGCTGAATATCACTGGGGTTAGAAAAATATTATGCAAGTAAAATGCAATTATGTGTTCCTGTCTGGATGTAAAACACAATGTTTGCCAGCCCCGGGTGTGAGCTGTTGAGGGTGCATAGTGTCACGCAGATTGGTGGATCCACTGCGGCACTACGGGTGACAGCCGACCAACAGCCAGGACAGATAATAGAGCTGTGTAAGCCCCCAGACAGATGGTCAGCCTGAACTACACACAGTAGCAGAGTCAGCAGCTCAATGGTCAGACAAGTCCAGCTTCTGCAGAAGTAGACGGAGCAAGGACTGACAATAACAGAGGAAATAGACCAAAGATCAGCATAAACACAGACAAGCGGAGTGCAAAGGCAGTCCAAACAATACACAGGAGTAATCCAACGGTCAGAGAAACCTGAATCCAGAGCAGACAGACTGCTGATCGATCCAGGTTTAATGTCCAGCAGTCTACTTAAACACTTCGGACAGGTGTGTGCTGCAGAGACCCGGTCTGTGGTGCTGAGTAACAACCTACAGATGGTGAAGGTTGAGGG